ATAATACTTTAAATTTCTCAGACATCTGAGTTGTGTTATACAGCTTTTCAGAGGCTTTAGTTTGTTGTGTCTTAATATTTTAAATATCAGTAGAAAAATAATAATACACTTTTGGACCCATTTAATTTTGTTCTCTTTTTGTTAATGGGAAGAAGTTACTTATTTTAGGCAGTAAGAATTTGTGTTTAACATAAAATATTGCAGCTGGAGAGATCGCTCAGCAGTTAATAACACTTAAAATTCTTTCAGAGGACCTGGGTTCAGTCTCTACTACCCACAATAGGCAGCTCACAACTTCTTATATTTCCAAACTATACAACTGTTAAGAAAATCTACAGTACCTGGGGTGGGCTACCCCCCACGAGCTGTTGGTCAGAGAGAGATCCTAAAGGTCCTCAAATTCACCAAGTCTATTGCCACTAATGTCAGTTGTACACTAGAAAGGTCGGTAAGGCCATGTTGCTGAAGACACTGCCTGTTGTGAGCACAGGAGAAAAAGAAGAGATGGAGCTGAGACTAAGCCAAAAGAAAAAAAAACTCCATGCCACTGGAAGGATGACGTTCATATTGCTAGAAAGTGCTATGCAGATGGTTGGGGAAGAAATGATCCCCCATGATTCTACTCAACAATTGACACTGCGTGCTGCACACTATGGACATGCCAAGCAATGCCTGGAAGTGCAATAATGGCTCGACTAACATATGTACAACTGACAAACTTCTAATTGGATAAGGTCTGCTCCTAGGGGTGGAACACACATCTGATGCTGTAGACCAGTCCAATGCCTTGTGTTGAGAATGGCTACCAGCCCTAGTGGGGAAGCCATCACATGTTTACTGTTTAATGAATATAGTACACCTACTGGGATATCTTCTAGGCATTTGTATTTACATTCATGTTTGTTTAAATGTGTCTACTTCCTTCCATTTGTCTTTATAGTAGAAGAAACACCACTGAGATAGATCAATGGCCACTAGCTTAAAGGCAAATAAGGGGGAGGCCCAAGAAGTCACTATCTCACCATGATACAAGAAAGATCGCCCTACATCTGTCACCCCCTCCAACGCTCAGGGACCTTAGCGGAAGATTGATGGGAAGATTGTAAGTGAGGAGGAAAGGGGTTGAGTGTCTTCCAGGTGACTAATTCCTCCAAGGGGTCCGGGCCTGCCTCAGAGGAGGGACAACTGAGGGGCTGCTGAGTGCCATCTTGGGACAGAAGCCATGAGCGGGGAGGAATAAGCAAGGTGGCAGGTGTGGAGAGAGAGATGGCTCTGACACCTCACCTGCATGGACATGAGAGGGGGCATTTACCAACCTGGGCCGAGAATGTGGGCCCAAGATGCATGGGCCAAAGTTAATGGAGATTATGGGTGGGTAGTGGAAGCATTTGATGTGGCCGGCTCTGATCCCCTGTGGTGCAAGAGTGCTTGTCTCTGTGTAAGTTCTCCAATTTACCCCCTCCCTACCTGAGGGCATAAACTATAATAAACTCACATAAAAATATATGGTTTATTTTATTGCGCATAAGACTCTGAGAGATATCTGGGGACAGCACCCAAAACCTTCTAGCGTCCACAGGCACCTGGAGATACATATTTCTCTCTCTCGCATTCTCTCTCTCTCTTTCTCTTTCTCACTCACAAATGCTAAATAAATCTAAAAAATTTTAAATATTTTTTTAATTCAAGATGTATGGAATAAGAAAAGAATTTTCTTACAAAGGTAGTGAAAAACCTAAATTTTTTTCCAAACTAATAGAGGAAGGAGGTTTTGGTAAGCAGATAGCCACAGCAAAAATGTATATTTTATTGAATTTTTATATTACATGTTAATTCTTTTTTATTAAATTTTTGTGTATTTCTGTATTTCATACAGAACATCTCAATCAATCTTAATCATCTTTATGCCCCCTTTTCCACTGGCACCCTCCTATAGCCCCCACTGGAATTCATACATTCTGTCATTTGTCTTAAGACTTGTGTCGTTAATGTCCCCAGACGTCCCAGAGTGCAAGTTCATCTACTAAGGTCTTGTCAGCTTATCTAGAGTCTCTAGTTTTAGGAAGATCAGTTCTTCCTCACCTAGGAGTAATCACTTGCCAATATTTCTTCAGCTACAATTTTGGAGTGACAGAAAGATTGTAAGAGCCTGGGAAGAGATGCATGACCATATAGAAATAGAGTCCTACAAGTTCCTGGGACCCTGCTCATATGAATCTACAGCAATGGTGTCAGCAGCACAGGGCCCATGCAACTCAAACAGACAAAAAACCAACATAAAACTGGGGAAACAGACAGCTGACCCTAATCTTAGCTAAGTTTTTATGCATTTCATATAATAGCTCTTAATCAAATTTAAAACCCCTCCCTGATCCATGTCCCCTTATAGACCCCCCCACCAGATTTCATGCAGCATTCTGTCATATATGTTAAGTTCTATCCTGTCAAGCATTAGTACCCAGATAGCATTTGTGCAAGTTCATCCACTAGAGTCTAGTCAGCCTATCCAGAGTCACTCCCTTAAAGAAGATCTGTGCTCCCTCACCCAGCAACAATCAGTTGCCAATAGCTATAATTTGGGCCTGCTGCCCATTTTCCCAGTAAGTTGACCAGAGCATAGCATTAGGTGTTTCAGAGAAGTTCAAAAGTTTCTATTGAGAGAACTCTCCATGAGAAGAACATTCTAGTCCCCAGGGTAAGCTCTCAGAAACAAGCTCCAGTCCCTAAGATGGAGCTCTAAACAAAATAACATCTCATCTACAAATCTGACCCATGAACTTTGTTATCCAGACAGAACCATGGCAGGAATATGAGTGGTGAAGCCAGGAACAACTTGAAACTTTGTAGATAGCAGGGGAACACAATGCCTTAGGCCAAACATTCACCAAAGGGATGTTAGAGAAAATCAAGAAAATGCAGACAGTGTGCAGTATGAACCTATACAAACTGTTTCAACAGGGAGGGAAATGAAACTCTAAGTCATTCTACATGGGAGACAGGGTATGCAAGCAGTCTCTCTGATGAAATGTGTTCCTTAGGAATGTGAATGTAAGCTTGAAGCAAATTACAGTACATGCTATAATAAACTTATACAAACAATTTTCTTTAGAATCACAAACATATCAATTCTTTAATTCTTTAGTTCATCTAAGAATTTGCTCTAGATAACTAGGAATTTCAGTCACAAAGAAATATATGTGAGACATAGAAAAATCAATGTTTTAAAAGCACTTGTTCACCTTAATAAATCCATTTGATTTCCCAGTCAAGATATAAGAAAACAATTTCAATAAACCACATATTCATGTTTCAATTTAAGCATTTTGAAACTCTGTGATGAACTGAAGTCTAGTTCCCGACATTTCCTTCTTATACATGTCATCAAATTTCTCGTTTTGGGACACTGTGAAGTAATTCTTCCAGTCACCAACAATCCCTAAAAATAGCAAAAATGTTTGAAAGAATAAAACACATGAATTTTAAAGAAAAAGCTAATATACACAAAATTAAAAGCTGGGATGATTAAGGAATGATTTTGTGTATATATAACTATTTTAAAGATCATTTAAAAATTAGATATATACTATAATTGGTCAAAGTTGCTATAACTTGGGGCTGGAGAGATGGTTCATTGGTTAAGAGCACTGACTACTCTCACAGTCGACCTGGGTTCGATTCCCAGCACCCACATGGCAGGTAACAACCATCTATAACTCCAAATCCAGGGGGTTCACCACCCTCTTCTGACTTCTGTGGGTATTACATGACACGAGTGTATATACATACATGCAGACAATACACTCATATACATAGAATAAAAATAAAAGTAAGATATTTAAAAAATTAAAAAAATAAAAAGTGGCTACAACTAAGTACAGAGTTCATATTTAATGAATCATTCTGAGAAAGGTAATTCTCTTATCTAAATTCTTGCAGAGTTTACTGTTTTCTAAGAGAACTTTTTGTACTTTTTCTAACTATACTGGGGCGTGGGTTTGTCTCTGAACCTTCAACAAAGGGGCACATTCTATTTTCTCAGTAAGTTATGCACTGCAGAAAGAACTAATAAATATAATTTCCTAGAACTTATGAATGAGAACACTATGATAACTGAAAGAAACTTGTTTTCCCTGAATCACAAAATTTGTACTTCATGTGTAACTTAGGTTAGAGTAGTAACATTATAATTAAACATGTAATAAACATAAACCATCTTGAGACAAACATGTCATTTATCTTTATTGGGTAAACAATCATTAAGGAGTTATAAAGGGGTCTATGCCAATTTAGGCATTAGAGTAAGAATGGCAAACATGAAATTATAATGATCAAAAACTGTATTTAACAGACTAGTAATGAATAAAATATCAAGTATTCAATAACTAGATGCATTGTTTTTCTTTATAAAATGCAACTTTGGACTGTATGTATTTCAATGTCTGCTATTTACAGATGAAGAATTGAATCTTAAGTTAAATAAACCACATAACTGGGCCTTCGTAAGAAAATAAAGCTGGAAATTAAGGAAAGACCTACCTTTGCGCATAAAAGAGAACTTGCTGTGATCCATCACTGCTGTGGGAAGGTGTGTGTAATTGACCAGAGGATTGTCCTTCATCACTTCAAAAGAGGTGTGATGAATAATCCTATCCAACATCTCATCATTCAAGGTCTTTGCTAGAAATCTAGCAATCTTCTTGATTTCCTCCTTTGGATTCTATCAGTGAGTTAAATGATACATGCAAAAAAAATGTAAACATGTAAGCCACAAACATATAATACAAAGTCATAAAATATTTATAGCTTTTTAATTGATTCCACATATACAAAGATTTTCATATTTAGTTGGCGTAGTCTCTATAAATTTTTAGGTAACCAACATTTTAAAACCAATATTAGCTTTCTAGGGAAAAAAATAGAATAAAAATATATTTATTCTAATTTTAACATTTTTAGTTGACCTTCAAAATACCTATAAGAACACACCCTAGGGCAGATTTCAACACTGTTTTGAGAAACAAATCCCATCACAGCTATTAATTGCTCCATTTGGAATCAATTTTGAATTTTCAATGTTTTATGGACCTGTCAATTTTCTTTATTCTTTATTTTATTTTTTTGTATTTAGTCGTGTGTTCTTATTTTTATAATAATTTTTAAAGATAATAAACTCAGACAAATTCAAGTTTGCTTATGAAACTGTTTAACATGTGCTATGACCTAAATGATTTAAAACAGACTATAGGACAGGAGACGTTGCTCAGTTGCGGGGTGTCTTCATAGTGTATTCAAGGCATTGGGTATACTTAAATCAACAAATAAGATAAAATGGCCAGCACTCAAGAGACTAAAGCAAGAGAATTATTAAGTTTGAGTTTAGCCTGGACAACACAGGGAGGGAGACTCTATTGAAAAAAAAAAAAAAAGCCAAACTAAACAAAATGAAAACAATAAAGGAAAAGAAAGGAAAAAAATAGAAAGATTAATAAATCATTTCTTTAAATTAGTAGATTACTGTATAGGAGATATGATTTGGAAATTTATAGAACCTGAAGAAAATGTCGCTGTTACTGTGGAAAAGAGACAAAAGGACATTAGGAATGCTGGGCCATATTGAGGGCTTGGATGAATAAGTACCTCCTGCACATTGCACATAATGTAAGGTGGTTTGGGCAGAGGTAAGCCATCTTTCTGATAGTTATCTTTGCCCTAAAATACACTATCTCAAAAAAACCAAAAAGGAGGGTTGATGAGATGGCTCAGCAGTTAAGAGCTTGCATTGCCCTTCCATGGGACCTGACTTCTGTTCCCAAAATTCATGTGGGGAAGCTCACAACTGCCCGTAACTACAGCTCCAGGAGGCCTCTGACCTCTGAGGGCACCTGTACTCAGATATACAAATATGCACACATAATAAAATAAATAAAACTAAAACAAAAAAACATGAAAATAAAAATGAACAAAAAATACATCAGCTTGTTTCAGTTTTTTAACCACATGAGCTTAATCTTTATTACTTGAAAAGCAACTAAATCTTCGTGGCTGTATAAAAATGATTCTGCAAAAAATGATATTGGAAACTGAAAATGGAAGACATTATTTCAAATCTAGCAAAATATGCTTACTACCAATATGTTCTAGAGTCTGTTCCAAGTAGATAAAATAGCTCAAATTAATATAAAATTTCATTACAGGATCAATAAATGGGAAAGAAAGTTAGAGCTACGGTTGAGTTGTCCATAGGCATACAATAAGCTCTAAAGTGAAAAGATAATTAAAAGTTGGGCCAAAATTAAGACCATCCTAGGATACTTTAATGAGAGTTTAGACTATTTTTTTTCTGGAGTTAGGAAGTAGCAGAATATGAAAACTATGTTTGTGTACATATACACATATATACATATTGGGAAGGGATTACCTATAAGACATGTTTGGGCAATATTTCCATATCAGACCTCTGTAAGTAAGAATGAGCTGGGTACTTAAGTCATACCAGTGGATGGAATGAGTGAAAATGAGAAAGTCCAAGAGAAAAATTTGCAATGATATGAAGACAACCCATGGACAAGCAGCAGAAGGCTCTGATAACAATGCACAGAATGAGGTGATGAATGAATGCTCTGACATATTATCAATGACCCTAGTGTAGACACCAGAAGAACTTTCCCAAGCCTTCTCTTGTACTTTCCATTTGCCTCATTTACTGAGAATTTATACAAAACTCATAAACATGTTATTAGGCTTTTTTGATCTTATAATGATAATTTATCACTTTTTCTATTCATGGTATATTAAATATTCTCATAAAGCATCATCTAAATGTACCTATCACAGAAGGAAAACATTGCCTGCTAGATATAACCTACATAGCAAGTTTGAGGGGAATTCAGAAATATTTGGATATTCCTCAAAGGCTATTTGGGCTGGTCCATGAGACATTAAGAAGATGTCGATTCAAATAAATCACATTAGCTCTGTCAGGACAGAAAAGCTTTCAAAGATGAGATTGGGTGCAGCATGATGTGTTTCATAATTTGGATATTGAAGTAAAATTCTTGAGTCTTATAAAAGATTAACATCAGAAGCAATTTTGTTCTTTTCATTAAGCTAGTAACTGCTGCTCTAGGGTCCAGTAAATAGAGATATTTGTGAGACAATACATGCAATTTTCTCTCTAATGAAGAATTTACGGCTTAAGTCTGTCCAACAACTCAAGTGACATTTAGTGAAAGTGGTTTCACATAATCATGTTATATATTTTTTCAGTTACTTATTGTCTGAAAACCTATTAATCACCTCAAGTCCTTGATAAAGATTGTCTTTTAAGCTATAATACAGCACTAGTATAATGAAAAATTTTAGATTATTTGCACTAAGATATGAGAGAAGCACTGGAAGCTTCCAAAAATGTGTACAGTAAGTGGCCTCACACACAAGGGCATTCTTTCTTTTTTAAAAAATATTTTATTTATTATTTTTATTTTTTATGTATATGAGTGCCTGCATCTGTGTAAGTGCACCTATGTCATTCAGTGCCCATGGAAGTCAGAAGTGGGCACTGGATTCCTCTGGAACTGGGGTTACTGTCAGTTGTTAGCCACCATATGGGTGATGGGATTCAAACCTAGGCCCTTAAGTCACCATGTGGGTTATGGGACTTGAACCTGGATCCTCTGTAAGAGAAGCCAGTGCTCTTAACAGATGAGCCATCTCTAATCCCAGGAGGCATTATTTCCATTTCATACAAAGTATAATTTATTCCACTAAAATTTGGGTATAACTAACTATATAATCTGTTGTTTGGCAATCAAATCATCAATGATTCACTCCATAATTGACTACTGTGCCACTATTTATAAGGTAAACACAATATTAGGTACTGGAAGCTTAGCTACAAAACTGAAAACATAGCTTGAGACAGGTTCTCATTATGTAAGCTTGGCTGCCCTGGAACTTGCTAAGTAATCAAGGCTAACCTCAAACTCACAGAGATCCTTATGCATCTATCTATACCATGCTGAGATTAAAGGCATGTGCCACCATGACCAGCCCCCAAATGGCCAATTTTATACATTCCATCATACATTTGAGAATTGAACAGTGTTATAAATTGTACTTCTAGACTTTTTCAACAAAAGAAACATTTCTACATGCTTTTCAAAGGTGTATGTACGTTAGCAGAAGTGTCCAATTTAAGTAGGATAGTGCGGAATAGTGGCACAGAACATTGCAATAAATTGAACAAAGATGAATTCATAGAGAAAATCAGGTGGATTATGAGTTCATGAATTAAAATAGATATAATAAGAAAGTGAAGGATGAGATACATTTGAAAAAAAGATGCAATAAACAAAAATGTAAGCTAATCATATGTCAAAAATATGAAAGTGATTCTATAATTATACAATAACTGTGTTCCTATTGGCTTACAGTGTATAAATAACCTAATTTTGACCTTTGAAAATTAAAAGGAAAAGGAAAATCATTGCTTGAGGAATAAAATAAAAGATAAAAAAGATGACATATTGGAAAAATAAACAAATTAAGTTTATTTTTGAGCACAGTAAATTTAGTACCATGAGGGTTTGAAATTCAATTTAGAAAAATGTATGTGTACAGATCTGGGGGTTATCCACACACACATATCTGTGGAAATGCTGAACAAGAAGTAGCTTCCTAAATATATTGAACAACTGAATAGGAAATGAGTGAATGGATATACATATAGAGAAAGGGGACTCATAAAGTCTTAGTAAAGTCAGGGGAAAACTCAAATTACAGCATGGTCAAAGATGACATTTTTATGAGTCCATAATTTGAAAGTCATTACTGAGCTGATAAACATGCACATAAGAAAGTGTAGAAGATAGAAGATTAGCTATTTCATTTTACATTTTAAGACTAACTTGAAAAATAAGTATTAAAAATTTTATCATACGATGTAGTGTGCACATTATCTAATAGTTTACCTTTTTCATATCTTCATAGTACAAGAAAAGTACTGGATGGTGGTCCTTTATTTTCCACCAACTTTTAACATGATTAAACCACGAGCCATAGGCCACTAAAATGGGATGAAAAGTTTATTTGTTAAAATAAAAAGATATTTTTATGAATAATAAGTCAATTGTAAAGACATTTTATAGAATTTGGCAATCAAGGAAGCTGATAATATAGGACCATTTTTAAAACATTTATCTGTTTTTTGTTTGTTTGTTTATGTGCATACCTGAGAGCCTGCATGACCATATGCACCACATGTGTTCAGAAGCCTACAGAGGCCAACAGAGAGCACTGGATTCCCCATAATGGAGTTACAGGTGTTTGTGAACCACTGTGATGGTGCTGAGAATCAAACCTGGGTCCTGTGCAAGAGCAGTTAGCACTCATAACCACAGAGCAATCTTTCCAGCCACCAGTTCAAATTTTTTAAAAAGTAAAATTAACCATTTATGTATATGAAGGAAATCAAATTTTACAAATATAAATTGCAAAGGAAGCATTTCAGACAACAGAAGATTGCCCCAATCAGTTACGCTCAGCCTCAGGGAAGGACACTTCCTTATACAACACAATATCAGGTGTGAATGTAAGGATTACACATATAACATGTGTAACAGAGCTCACTAAAGATGAACAAAAGATGAGAACAGACTTTTAGCAACTGAAAAATTCTAAATGTCACTGATTAGTGTCACATTTGTAAAATGAATTTTATAGTAAATTTAAATGTAAGTAACTTCCTAAGATGGAATTTAATGTATCTGCGCTGAACCTAAATAATGAATTAATTTATTGAATTATCAATTTATTGAATTTTTAGAGGAAAATCCAAACCAATATCAGTTAGAATTCATTTTTTGTTAAGATCTACCTACCATTTCCAGTCATGAAATTTTCCAAATATTCTTCCCAGGTGCCAGGGAGAGGTAGTAAGGTATGCATTAAATAAAAATGATAATATGAGACTGCAACATCCTTGCCATTTCGAGTCAGATAAATCATCTACATGAGAGAGGAAGAAAAAAATCAAATGGATACTATATTATTAATGACAATAAATTATAAATAAATAAATAAAATATCAGAGTACTTTTTATCCTAGTAATTTGCATTGTAATGCTTTTTATCAACATCTTTAATATAGAATCTGCTTAAATGAATTATTTTTTTAGTTTACATACAAAGAAAGTATATCCATTGTGACATTTTTATAGATGAATATTTTACTTTTTTTAATCTTCCCTCTCCAAGATGTTTCCACTGCTCTCAATTCTCCCTCTCTAGCTGGTGCCATCACTCCCCCATATAGGTTCTCCTGCTTTCCTGACACAAATATTCCACTACTTTATCTTGTTCCCTTTCCCTCCTCCCTTTAGATCTCTTTCTCTTCTCTTAGCCCCTTTCTACATTTATGTCCTACATAAAATTAGAATAGATAGTTGGTAAATGATTGATAGATGATAGATTAATAGAGAATAGATAATAGATTGATGGATGATAGACAGGTAAATAGTGTACACATGAATGCGTACATATAAATTTAAATCTAGATTGTGCATATATGAGAAAATGCAACATTTGTCTTTCTGAGTCTGACTTGTTTTGCTGAACATAATAAGAAACACAAATAGGCAAAGAATATGTGAAAAAGTTAAAACATTTTTCAATGGGCAATGCTTTTAAGAGTTTAGGCCCTTAGATATCTCAGTATTTTGAAATAAAGATATTTGTTTCTGGATCACATGATTCTGTGAACCACAAATCTGTCACTATACTTTCAAGGAGAACTGGAGGCCTACAGCACAAAATTTATTATCAATGATATGACACTGTGAAGAGATGAACATAGGACTTTCTAGAAAACAAATTTAAGGGGTTGGATAGATGGCTCAGCCTAATGTTAAGAGCACTGGCTGTTCTTGCAGATGACCTGGGTTTGAATATCAGCACCCACATGGTGGCTAACAACCATGCATAACTCCAGTTTCAGGTGGTCCAACACCCTCATCTGTTATCTGCAGCCACGCACAACATGGGTGCACTTATACAAATGCTGACATAATGTTCATACACGTAAAATAAAAATAAATAAATAAATATAATTTTTAAAAATTAAAAGGAAGAGGAATTTAAAACAATTTTAAGGATCAAATCTGTGAAGGCAATATTCATTCCAATTAGTTAAATACATGAAACAATATCACAGGTTGAAAAGTTAGAAAAATTATAAGAATGCAATCAAGAATGGTTAGAGGTATTAAACACATACACAGACATTCCTTCAGGTCAGAAATAAGAAGGCACAGATCTGCTTTATGCTGCTTCTCTCCTCCGACTGTTGCCAAAACCCTAGAACTTGGTCAGCAGTCAGTGATACAAGAACTCTGAAAGCAAACTGGTTAAAGCTCTCATCACTTTAATAATGCCAAAGTGGTGAGTCACTATTGTCTTTTCTTTTTAACCCCTATAAACAGTTGAAATGGACAGTAAGAGACATGTCATCTTGTACTAGTATTGATAACTGAAAACAAAATTTAAAAAAATATGAAGAAAAAATACTCTTCCTAAAAAGGATCAGACAAACAGAAAGGAAGCTAACACAGACAAACTGCTAAATCCAAAATTTTTCTCTGTATCTTTGAACTGCCTGGGTGATCTGACATACTGGCAATATGGACAGTGAATGCCTGAGCTATGCTAGCTTTTGCTCTACAAGCAGAACACCCATGGGAAACTCAGTCTATACCTAGTGGCACCAACAGTGAGCCCCCTTCCCCCACTCAATGACATGAAGAGATTCAGTCATGAAGACTTCTTTCTTCAGGACAGCTCATGATGCAGGGGTCCCAAGGGAACACCTTATTCCCTTGCGTATAGCACCAGCAGGAATCGCAGAAGGATATCAAATCACCAGTCTATCAAAACAATCTAGAACACATTGTGGAGACTTAGGAAATTAACGCCTTATAGGAACTAAGGTTCAAAAACATATACAGAATCTGTCTGTGAGACCTAAATAGAGTGACAGACTACTAAAGTTGATGATTTGGATAGAGATTTTTTTATTAATTTTCCCTTAGAGTAATATCCAGTGTATTTCTGCCTCCAGTTTTCTGATACTTTTTAATATGTTGCAACTGCACCTCGAATGGTTCTGGGGTTGACCTGGATATTAAAGATTACTCACGTTATATTGAAAATGTAGATAAGCATGCACCACCAAAGCTGACCCTAATGCCCCTCTTAAAATTCAAGACCAAGTTTCACAAAACCTCATAGTTCTTAAATCAAGGCTCAGATTAAACTTGGAGTCCGAGGTTGTTTATCTGTGGACTGTTTCTTCTGTGCTTAGCCAACTCAATTTGTCAGAAGAAACTTAGCACAATGAAGTTATATATTACAAATCTATACTCAGCACTATCCTAAAATGGGGAAAAACTTAGAACATTTCCTCTAAATTCAGGAAGAGAAAAAGATACTCACTCTGACCAGTGCTGTCCATCCTAGTGCTTGAAGTGCTAGCTAGACCAGTAAGATGTGAAAGGGATACCGAAAACAAAGGAAGAACTCAGGGAATCCCAATCTGGAGAACAATCCTATATATCAAGGACCCTAAGAACTATGCTAGGGAACTCAGCCATGATAAACACTTTCAGCAAAATCCCAGAATATACAATCAACATAAAAAGAGTAGCTTTTTTATGTGCCAGTAATGAACTTGTTAGGAAGCAAATTGCTAAAAATAAATCCCACTCACAATGTCTTCAAAACATAAAAGATACAGGAATACCCCAACAAAATTAGTAAAAGACTTTTACAATGAAATAACTAAAAGATCAAAGAAGAAAATAAAAAAGTCATTAGAAAATGGAAAAATCTCCCATGTTCATGAATTGGAAGAAATGATATTATAAAATGGCTAAATTTCTGTAAGGGATCAAAGATTAAAAATATTCCATGTAATGCCAGGCATGGTGGTGCACGCCTGTAGTCCCAGCACTCAGGAGGCAGAGGCAGGCAGATCTCTGTGAGTTCAAGGCCAACCTGGTCTACATAGTGAGTTTCAGGACAGCTGGAGCTACAGGGAGACCCTGTCTCAAAAAGAACAACAGCAACAAAAATTCCATATTGTATTTACAAAACCATCTAAAAAGAAATAGAAAATTAATTTAAAAATTCATATCTAACATCACACACACACACACACACACACACACAAAACCCTGAATATCTAAAGCAACCATAGACAGAGAAAACAAGGCTGGTGGTACAATATCTGATCTCAAATTGTACTACAGAGCCGTAATAACACAACTATATAAGACTGGTGTAGAAACAGACATACAGAACAATTTAATAGATTAGAGGACCAAAAATATAAATTTAAATAGCCATAGTCATCTAATGTAGTCAAAACTGTCAAAAATACACATTGAAAAAGTTTCTCCAACAAATTATTCTGATAACATGGATATTTGCATGTATAAAAATGAATCTAGATCTGTATATCTCAAGCTGAATAAGAATTCAATTCAAATAGATCAAAGACTTTAAGGCCTGAAACTTTGAAGTTGCTAGAGAAAAACATAGGAACATCTATTAAACTATGCATATTGGCAATTATTTTTATGAAACAGTATCCAAAACCACAGGAAGTAACCCCAAAAATTAGTAAATAAGATTACATGAAATTAGAAAACTTCTACACAACAAAAGACACAGGCAACAGAATGAACTGACAGCCTACAGAATTAGAGAAAATCTTTGCCAATTATAAAACAGACGTGATTAATGATTAATATCTAGAGTACTGAAAAACTTGAAAATATTGAAAATATTAAAAAAGTATTGCAAATAATGAAAAAATATTGAGTCAATAAATGGACTAAAAATGTTCAAGATCAGTAGTCACCAGGGAAATAGAAAGTAAAACTTCTTTGAGATTTTATCTTGCCCTATTCAGAATAGCTATCATCAAAACCACAGAAAGATTTGGCGATGGTACGAGGAAAGAGGAGCTCATGCACAGCTTTTGGGAATATAAACTGGTGTAGCCACTCTGCAATTCACTGTAGACATTTGCTTACTTCTCCTTCACATCCCCTATTCACCAGTCAAGGACTTTCTTTTCCTCCTACAGATGAGAGTTATACAATTTGGGAGTCCTTTAGATAGACCCACTGTAAGGGTACTCCAGTTGTCTCACCCCGCGTCCCTGTTCCGCATGGAAGAATCCTGAGCCCTCTGCATCCTGATCCTCTATAGGCAATTTGGGTAACCTCTTCAGAGGATGATGTGATAAGAATAGGAGGTAGGAATTGGCTAGACGGGGCAGAGAGACCCCAAAGAAAAGTAGCCAGTTTCTTGGCTGAAAGTCAAAATGTCCTTGGGCCTCTTAGCAACATACTCTGTTCCAAAGGCCAAAAATGTCAAAAGTATTCGGGAGCTCTTATCTAATCCCTAAGAGATTATAGGGTTACCTCTTCAGAGGGGTGAATGTTAGAGTAGCAAAAAGCCCCAATTTAAAAAAGCTACATAGTAAGCTCTAAACAGGAAAGAAAGAAAGAAAGAAAGAAAGAAAGAAAGAAAGAAAGAAAGGAAGGAAGGAAGGAAGGAAGGAAGGAAGGAAGGAAGGAAGGAAGGAAGGAAAGAAAGATCAGAAAAATGTGATGGGGAGATATGGAGGTGTTGGAGGGGAGTGGGCATGGATTTGATCAAAACATCTTATTTGCATGCATGAAATTCTCAGTAAAGTCTTTTTAAGTTAAAAAAAGAATTACATAAACCAAATTCAGAAAAAACAAATATTGTGTCCTATGTCTTTTTCTCTTTGTCTCTCTCTCTCTCTCTCTCTCTCTCTCTCTCTCTCTCTCTCTCTGTGTGTGTGTGTGTGTGTGTGTGTGTGTGTATGTGTGTTTGTGTGTGTAGGTCATGGAAGTAGAGGGATGGCCATGAGATGTGAAAAGAGGTTTCAAGGAGCAGGGGAATTGGATTCAGGTAGCAAACATAAAGAGCAATATTTAAAGAAGCAGGGGGTATTGGCAATGGTGGGGATGGAACAGGGGTGGAGAAATGGGAGATTAAGTGCAAACCATAAAGACATAATATATGAAAATTCCACAGTGAAACCCATGACTTTTCAATTAACTTAAAAATTAACAAATTTTTAAAAATAAAAAGATTCAAATCCAAAAGGAATCACTGTTTTCTTTAATAAAGAAAATCTTTAAAAACAGAATAGATACATGTTGCACACTAACAAACAAGTTTAAATGACAATGAATTTCTCATCTAATTTACACTGACAAGAGAGATTGGCATAATAATTTTCAAGTGCATAAAATAAGATAGTAACTCCAAACTCAATATCCTTGAGGTAGGAAGAAAAATAAAGACAGTTTCTGATGAAGGAAAACTAAAGAAATTTGTTGTTCATGGGCATCCATTAATGAAGAGTTAATGGTAACTATGAGTAGAAAGAAAATACAGAGCATAAGAATAGTACCTTCAGAAAACAAAACAGGAGAATGAATGAAAGCAGAAGTCATTATGACAGGTTATCTTTCACCTGCTGAGTTTCTTTTTTCATACTTTATAGATGAAACAAAAGTCATTCCATCATTGAAGTGGTCTCTTATTATATACAGAAATAACTAAAGACTGTTATATTTAAAATAAGAGGAGGGTAAAGAACCTAAATTGATGTAAGCTATTCACAGTTAAGCTGATAAAATGTCAACATCATAGTATGTTTATAGTGACATCTAGACCTGAAGAAGTTAGTTCTCCCAAAGTTTAGGTGAAGCAGAAAGTGGGAAAAAGAAAAGAATAAAAGAGAAATGAAGGAAACAAACAAGAAAGTAACATGCTAGATATGTCTTAAATTGTCAATAGTTCCTTTAAATGTAAATGGTATGAACGTGTGGATTTGTAGACTAACACTGAAGATTAAAAAAAGTAATGTCGGGGCTGGAGCAATGGCTCAATGCTTAAGACCACTGACTGCTTTTGCAGAGAATTCCAGTTTGATTTACAGCATCCACATGATGGCTTACAATTGTCTGTAACTCCAGTTCCAAGGGATCCACCCTCTTCTGGCCTCCACAGGCCTTCACCCACTTACAAGCAGGCATTACACTCATACACATAAAATGAAATAATAAATAAAATAAAATAAAGTGGTGCCAATCTATATGATATCGTGAGAAACTCATTTCCACCAAAATGACAAAGTAGAAGTAAAATAACACAAATGATACATCATGGAAGAATTGATCAATGAACCCGAAGACCTGGATTAGAATCCCAGCACACACATGGTGGCTAACATCTGTAACTTCAGTTTCAGGGAATCAGGCACTTTCTTCTGGTCTCTGCAGGCATTGCATGACATGGTGTGCTTGAACTCTTGCAGGCAATGCATTCATACACATAAAATAAATAAATCAAAAGTTAAAAATATTTAAAGGAATTTAAATGGAATTTGGAGGGGGCCAGGAGGAATGCCTTTCCCAGACACAATAGGCTAGCAAAAAAGAAGCCCAGTGTCAAATATGGGTTTCTTCTTTTAAGGTATTGGTCTTTGGGTTCCACCAGACCCTGTAAACATTACAGGCTACTTAATTATACTCCAGAACTTAATGGTAAGAACCTATTGCTGAAGACACCTATGACCTTGAGTCATAGGAAATAGAGAAATCACATTGGTTCTGACCTTGAAGCTTCCATTCGTACTCGTTAGTTTCATAGTGCTAGAAAGTTCCATTTATACTACCAAGTGAGGAAAGTAATCAATAGTCTTACCCGGGTGTAAGACTTGCCAGTTACAATAGCAACTGGCCTGGCAAGACAAGCCCATTTGTGCAATAGTAGCACAAATGTTATTGGAGCATTCAACAACTTTCTGATTGGATTTAAATCCAGCTCCACAAAATGGAATTCATTTCTGGTACCATTAGCTGAGCTGGCTAGGTCCTCTGTCTGAGGAAAGAACCTAATATTTTTATTATGCTAAAAGGACGTTGTATTAAACTGCCCATTAAGCTGTTATGTTTATACCCAAAGATTAATGTGTTCATCAATCCTTATGTAAGAAACTTCTTTTTACAGTAGATGGCAGTCAATCCAGAGAACCTGAAACCCATGAACTTTCACAGAATAAGAGACTGTAGATTGCTCAGCTCTAAATGAGGCATCTTAATAACACCCCCACCCCCATCCTCAAACTTAGGGATCATTGTGGAAGTGGGGGTGAAAAGATTATAAGAGCCAGAGGTAGTGGATGGCTACAATGAAACAGTATTTGCCTTACATGACAGTGCTGTAGCACACATGAATTCAAAATGACTCTGAATGCATGTGTAATACCTGCACAAGGTTAAACTGGCCAAAATCTCAGCATGAACAGGAAGGCCTCAAGAAATCCTATCCTTAGCTGAGAAGCTATTGGCAATTGTTTGCTGCTGGGGAAACAAGTCAATGTTCTTCAGGGGTGAGGCCACTGAGAGATTGCCGGTAATCCAATAGATGGTCCTACACTCATGTACATAGAGGCAGCACTAAGTGGACTAGTGGGCTTAGAAAAAGAGCACATTGGGGCTGGAGAGATGGCTCAGTGGTTAAGAACACTGGTTGTTCTTGCAGAAGACCTGGGTTCTACTCCCAGCACCCACATGGCAGCTAACAAGTGTCCATAACTCCAGTTCCAGGGGATCCGATGGCCTCTTCTATCCTCACGGGCATTGCACGACTGCATGCAGGCAATACATGCATACACATAAAATAAAATAAAAATAAATAATTTTTTTTTAAAAAGAAGAAAAAAGAGTGCATGAATTTGGGAAGGAAAGAGGAGGGGAGGACGGGATGGGAATTGGAAGTGAGGGAATGGATTGTGGATTTGAACAAAACACCACATATACATTTATGAAATAAAATTCTCAAAGAATAATTTTAAAAATTTTAAAAGAATTTCTAAAAAACTACAACAATTTAAATCATACAGAAAGTATTTTCAACTATACATTAATCACAAAAAGCCACATTAAATTTTTTAATACTTGCGTTTATAGGAAGTAGCATATGAAGTACTACAACCATTACAAGATTTGAAAGTTCACAATATAAACAACTTTTCAGTCATTACTTCAACAGCTTAGAAAAATTTCTCACATATTACAGTCTCATAAAAGTCAAGTAAGTAAAAATTGATAATTTAAATAGCACAGTATCTACTTAAAAAATTAATCATTAACTGTTGGAGAATTTAAGATTTCTCACTAAGCAAATTTTCAGTCACAAATGTTTCACAAAAGACTTTTCCCAAACATTCAGGAAAGAACACACATATTTATGTTGGTTTTTTTTAGATGGTCTCATTATCTTAAGACAGCAAAGGAATAAAAGCAGCAATGTTGTGCTGATGTAAGAGTTTCGTTGTTCTTTAAATTTAGAAATTTTAAGCACGTAAATTTAAATTAAAATAAATTAGCTATGCATGGCATACTCCTCTATTTTCAAAACCTAGGAAACTAAGTCAGGAGGACTAAAATATCACAGCCCCCCCTATAGCATATCCAATTCAAGGCCAACCTCTGCTGTACAGTGAGATTGTTTAAAAAACAAAACACACAAGATCAGGGGCTGGAGAGATGGCTCAGCAGTTAAGAACATTGACTGTTCTTGCAGAAGACCTGGATTCAAATCCCAGCACCCACTTGGCAGCTAACAACTGTCCATAACTCCAGTTCCAGGGGATCCAGCAGTCTCTTCCGTCCTCCATGGGCATTGCACGATACGGATGCACTTACCCACATACGGGCAATATACACATACACATAAAAATAATAAATAAAATTAAATACACACAAGACCAAAACCGTAAAGCAGCAAAGATGAAAAGAGAAGACAGGAGAAGAGAAGAAGGTAGGAAAAGGGAGAGGAGAGGAGGGGTGGGGAGCCAGAGAGGGGAGGGGAGGAAGGAAGTGGCAAGTGGAAGGGAGGGAAGGAGAGGGGAGAGAAAGAGAGAGGAGGAGGGATAAGAGAGGAGAAGCAATGTACTACCTTATGTAGCTTAGAGCTCTAGGTCACAAAACATGCTGTTTTCTTTCAATAAGAATCAATGAATGGACAGAGTCAAACTGAAAGATTAACTTGAATGTAATGTACCTTGCAATTGTTCCTCCACATTGATTTAGGAAGTAGATCAGTTGGCAGATGTGTCTTTATAAATCGAGGCGATGGATTCGTCTCTAACTGCTCTATACCTGGAAATTTCAATTTTTGACATAGAAAGACCTGAATATTAAAGCAGTCCCATTTTTCCCTCTTTACAACCAATTTTAGTTTTTTTCTTTGTTGTTTGTGTGTGTGTGTGTGTGTGTGTGTGTGTGTGTGTGTCCATGCATGATGGGTGTGTACATGACAGCAGGTGTGGACCACGGTGTGCTCATGGATATTAAAGGAAAACTTTTGGTAGTCGTTTTATTCCTTTCACTTTGGGTTCAAGAATTGAAGTCAGATTGCTGTACAGGTACAGGCAAGGTGTAGTACACACTTTTGCTGGCTGAGCCATGTCATGACTCCGACCCCCAACCACACATTTTGAACACTTTTAAATGCAGCTAAAATCTGAACCAATAATAGGTAGTGGTGTATTTTTTTTTTGATTAATCTCACTATGGGTAAAATTTCTATTATAATTTTACTTGTGAGATATTTTTAAATTATCTAAGAGTTTCTGTGTTTTATTTTCTTTATCTTCAAAATCAAGAATAAAAATACTAGTCCTGCCAGACCTGGTGGCACACGCCTTTAATCCCAGCACCGGGGAAGCAGGAGGATCTCTGTGAGTTCAAGGCCAGCCTGGTCTACATAGTGAGTTCCAGGACAGCTGGGGCTACAGGGAGGCCCTGTCTCAAAAAGACCAAAAAAGAAAAAAAACAAAAAAAAACTAGTCGTGGTCCAGTGTGGTGGCACACAGCTTTAATCCCAGCACTCGGGAGGCAGAGGCAGGTGGATCTCTGTGAGTTCAAGGCCAGCCTGGTCTACATAATGAGTTCCAGGCCAATTTGGGCTGCAGGGAGACCCTGTCTCAAAATGACAAAAAAAAAATAATAATAAGCATTAGTAACTTGGAATTTTATCACATCTACTCCTCAGGTCTCTCTAACAAATCTTAATATCTTGTGCATCTTTTTATTTTCACATTACTTTAGGGCTAGTCTAATCTCCAGTTAAACAGCTACATTCTCTTGATGTTTTCTGGATAGAAAGGTAAACCTCAAAAAGCTTGCATCTGATTTACTTACTCTAAACAATGACCTCTTTGGATTGTTTAAAATAATTTATTATATATGTAGCAAGTCTCTGCCTCTATTGCAAATATTCATTCCCAATGTTCTATATAACACTCATTTGTTCTTAACATGTTACATATTTAAGCATGTTGGTTGGCACAAACATGTAATACTTTTGGGAGCTATTAATATAAGCACAGCCATCATGTACATTGAGCAGTGGCAGGCTTGCTTATTTACTTTATGACCTTTCACCTTGACTCAAGAGTTTGTGTTTTACACACAAGCACTGAATTGTTCTCTCAAGTCAGGAGGAATGTGCTGATTATTTAGGGAAGATGGTTAATTGGTGGACTTCACTACAAGTATTTGACAGTTCCTTGACCCTCAGATAAAGGTGGGAAAAAAGAACTGTTGAAGCTAATTGAGCTAAGTAAACTGTGGCTATCTGATGTTCTGCTGTATAAGAAGGCTGAGCTAAAATAAACTGGGGCTGTGGTCTCTACTGACAGTCCTCCCAAGTATCTTTTCTCTGTCTCTTCTTTTTCTTTCAATCCTCACTCCCCCTTTCAGGTGCTGTTCATCTAAGACCAGCTGGCACCGGCATAATACCACTACTCAGGGGGCTAAAACAGAAAAATCTCAAGTTGGAGGCAAGCTTTGACTACTTAGAGGCATCCATGGCACTCTGTGCTTTATGATTTTATAGAGAAACTGTTAAAATGCAAGCAAACAGAAATGTTCCTAATTACTAAGTGTTCACATATTCCATTTTTACTCTCATTGTGTAGGACACATAGAGGAGAATGGAAATTCCACCAGGGAAGAAATGTGACTTATGTTGTTTACCACTGAATATACTGTAGATTGGGGTGCATAGCCCACAAATAAATTAAGCAGAACTCTTTTATAATCTTATAATTAAGGTTGGGAAAAATCAAATAAAAATCCAAGATGGTCAGTTTAATTTGGATTTCAGATAAATAATTATACTTTTTTGTATAAGTATCTCCCATGGAATATTTGGGATGTGTTTATACTGTATTAAATATTTTAGGATTTTAATTTAAAATTTAAATTTAATAGGAGGTTCAGTGACCTGGTATTAATCTGGAAACAATAATTACAGATTTCTAAAATTCCACAGGGGTTACATTATTCCTCCAAACTAATAGCTATAGCCATATTATTCAACATGAGAAAAAGAGAATTGGTCTTATGTCTCTCTTTTCTTAAAGCAGAAAGCATGAGCTTAATGTGCTTAACGGTCTTTCCTATTCATATTCTTCCTGGTCCCTGCCCCAATCCATGAAAGACTTATCATTTGCCAAATGAGGCTTAAATGAACCCTTTACAACATGAATCTGAATGCTAGGAGCGCAGCAAAATGTCACCGCCATCCACATTCAGGGTCTAGAGTAAATCTAAGTACTATGTTCATCTCCTGATGAACTTCAGACAATTTGTTTGTGGCAATCTATTCACATTCCCTTTCCATCCCTGCCCCTTGGCCCTTACTGCCATTGATGACATGGTTTTGATTTAATAACTTTTAAAACATATTTAATTTATTATTTTTATTTTATGTGTATGAGAGTATTGCCTGAATGTAAGTGTACCTGTGTCATGAAATGCCCTTGGAGGTCAGAAGAGGATGTTGGAAATACTAGAGTTATGGATGGATTTTAGCCACCATGTGGAATCGAGGTCAGGTCCTCTGCAAGAGTATGCTATGCTCTTAATCACTGGGCCATCTCTTCAGCCCCTGTTTTAATCACTTTTAAACTATATATATTTTCATGGTGTTGAAGTCATGACTCATTCTTTGTTTCCAAGCTTTAGCCAGCCAGTTAAGGACCAATATATCCTCTTCGTATGTAAGTAGCAAGACTTCTTGCTATGAGCCACTACCACTACATAGGAGAATGAATATTCTGGGCTTTTAAAAAATATTTTGATAACATCTTTATTGATTCTTTTAAAATATTTTTATTGAGTTTTTGTGCATTCCATACGATAGCTCTTAATCAAACTTAGACCCCCTCCTCCATCCATTATCCCCCCAAGCCTCCCTTACCAGATTTCATGCATTCAAAGGCTATTTAGTCAAGCCTTTGTACTCATATGTCCTTTGGTGCAAGAGACTCCACTGAAGTCTCCTTAGCCTATCTAGAGATGTTAAACAAGATCTATTCTCCTTCATCCAGCAGTTTATCAGTTGCCATAGTTCCTAGGCTGGGGTAGGGGCCTACTGCCCAGTACCTCATTCTATGCTGGGGTTTTGTGTGACTGAGTCAGCATGGGTCTCGTGAATGTTGTCAGCATTGCCGCAAGTTTATATGAACAAGTTTCTAGGGGTCTAAATTACTCTGTTTCCTTATATTCATGTAGGAACCTTGGTTCTTACAATCTTTCCACCCCTCTTCCACAATGGTCAGTGAGCTGGGGTAGGTGAGGCTTAATAAAGGCATCCTATTGAGTGACACACACTCTACAGTCTCTTATTCTCTAAAACGTAGCCAGTTGTGGCCTTCTCTGTGCATCACACTCTGTTGTATGAGGAAGCTTCACTGGTGAGAGTTAAGAGATGTATTAGTATTCTCTTGGACCACTGTTCCATTATGTTCTGCAAGCCTTAGGTATAGAGGTTCCACTCTAGATGTAGCAAACAGAGCTGGGCATCTCTCAGGTATATATTCTCTGTGCATGACCAGCTGTGAAACTCTGTAATGGCCTCCATCTTTTGCATAAAACAGTTTATTTTCTTAGCAGTGTACACTATATTTGTCTGGAAATATAAGGGTCCATTTTAGCATACAGTAAGAAATTTCATTTGTCTAGGGATATGACAGAGTGAGTTTTCTCTAGGATCTATGACATCTCCAGCCATATGTACAGTGCCACTCATGAGTTTGCTCCAGTTGAGAGGGCTTTAAGTCCAACTAGACAGCTGTTAATTAAGCCATAGATAATAGTGCCACTACAGCACAAATAGAGATAGTTTGCTGTGCCAGTCATTGTGGTTATTAGGTTTTGAAGCTAGGGTCAGGCCATTGATTGATTTTTTTTTTTCTTAGCCACTTGCTAAGGGTTTTCTCCAGAAATATGAGAGCTAGTCTTCAGGAAAGGCTTCCAAGTCAGTTGCAGCTCCATTGCTCCAAGTAGGGAGGTTTCCCCTGTCTGGCACTATATTTCTTGTTATATATACTGAAGGTACACACATGTACTAATTTTCAGATATTGTATGTATATTTTTCAGGGGGAAGTTTGAGTTAATACATTTCCCTCAACTTTTTATGCCTCCTAAGCTTTATTTCTCCTCTCTCTCTCCTGTCTAACCACCCTCCTCCCTCCCCAGCTTAAATGCCTCCATTTTCCCCATTTTCCACTTGACATACCTGTCTCCTGTGAATCCCCCCCTTTCTTTGGTGCCTTCTTTCCCTTTACCCCCATAGTTCCTTATATGTCCTTCCCTCATTCCTTTCCAGTTGAATACCCCCATTTCCTCCATGGTAACATCTGTTACTAGCCCCTCTTTTGGGCTCTTTCTTTCCCTTTGCCTCTGTTTCCTTTTCATTTTCCTGGCTTCTGCTGTTACAATAGGATGTATATTCATGTATAAGGGATTGATTGGTGTAATGATCCACAAATGAGAGAGAATATATGTTGCTTGCTTTTCTGAGTCTGTGTAATTTCACTTAGTCCAACAGTTTCTAGTTCCATCCATTTACCTGCAAATTTCATAAATTCATCCTTTCTTACCACTGAGTAGAACTCCATTGTATAAATGCACCATACTTTCATTTTCCATTCATCAGTTGAAGGACATTTATGCTGTTCCATTTCTTAGCTATTGTAAAAAGAGCAGTAATAAACATGGATGTACAGGTATCTCTATACTATGATAAGTCCTTTGGGTATATGCCAGGGTGCTATCACTGGATCATATGGAAGGTTCATTTTTCGTT